CATGAGTGTGTGGAGAGGGTGAATAAAGAAAAGTTATATATTTGTTCCCATAATATAAGAACTAGAGGACACCAAATGTCTTTGACATGCCACCCCCTTTTTACCGAGGAGATTTAAAACCCTCAATGTATATGAAACAAGCCCCGCCCTTGTTCTGGGCCCAAGTTCTAGCCAAGAAGGCGCAGCAATATTGAGTTTTTAAAACCTAAATATAAAAAAAAATTCAGATTTACACTGGGGTTGGTGAAACCTTCCTTTTCATTATATATCCATAATAAAATAGAGTTTATGAGCAGTAAAGAGGTTTGGTAATTTTTGAATGGCTCAGCTCTGCTTCGCTGTTTAATCACCCCAAAAGCTGTTTATTGCCTTCTGTATTTCTCTGCCACAAAGATTATCCCTTAATTATATTCTCTTATTCAATTCAGAAGCCTCATATCCAATTCAGCCATTCACTAATATTAATGACTTCAGTAATTTACTGGTACCAGATGATATGCCAGCTTCCCTCATGGGATAAGCCATGTAGTTAGCTACATCATCTTTTCACTGACATACTGGAATACTGCCACATAAAACAGCACTGCAGTGCCATTGCTGCATCATTATGTCTCTGAAGGCAGATAGCTATGCGCCAAGTTTAGTTATTAGAACTTTTTAGAGTAAAAATAGTGTGCCACTGAGTGGCTTTCTAAACACTACTATTACCTCAGGTACCTGGAATGTCAGGAAAAATCCCCATCTGGTTTGTATTATTAATTCAACAGTGGAAAAAAACACAATCTGTGTCATTGGCTATTTCTAGCAGTGGAGACACATTTTATTTATTTTATTAGTGGATTCACACTATGCATGCAGTGAAAAATGTTATTTATGGCTTAATATTTTGCACTTAAATAGCACTTCATCCAAGGAAAAGTACTGTCAGTGAAATCTGCAGTAACCAACTGTGCATCTACTGGGAATACAAGTTTGGAAATACAAACCATTAAAAACCCAAACCTGAAATACCCTCAGGTGAACAACTTCAGAGTTTATTCACCCTTAAATCACACCTGTCATCTCCTATTAAGGTTAATTCATAACATATAACTGAGAGGACATTGTAAGGGAAACATCCCTTTCTTTCTGTCTTGATTTATCACAGACTAATGTCAATACAGAAAATCCAGTGAAAAAAAGCTGTATTGAATAAAAACAAATTACTTCTCCTAGGATGAAATTCACTGCTCCCTCTACAATGCATACTCACAAAACTATAGGTAACCCAGGAGTTTGAACAGCAACTGGTTCTCTTCTGGGAGGCAGTATAAATATAGATCCGGTAATCCCTCCAACAAACAATCACTGCAGACTGCATACAGGTCTGCTGCACAAAGGAGTTGTAAGGGCTAAGACTTTAACAGGGTTCAAAAAAGAACTAGATAAATTCACGGAGGAGAGGTCCATTGATGACTATTAGCCAGGATGGGCATGGCTGGTGTCCCTAGCCTCTGCTAGAAGCTGGGAATGAGCAATAAGGATGGATCACTTGATGATTACCTGTAAGGTTATTTCCTCTGGGGCATCTAGCACTGAATACTATCAGAATACAGAATACTAAGATAGATGGACCTTTTTTCTGACACCATAGGGCAATTCTTATGTTATGTTAAAGGCCTCTCTATACAGGGAAGATAATGGAGCAAGCAATTAAGGAATTCATCTGCAAACAACTGGAAGATAATAAGGTAACAGCCAGCATGGATTTCTAAAGAACAAATCATGTCAAACCAATCTGATAGCTTTCTATGACAGAATAACAGTTTTATAGATCAGGGAGAAGCGGTGGACATGGTATACCTACACTTTGTTAAAGCATTTGATACAGTCTTACATGAGCTTCTTATCAATATAGTAGGGAAATACAACCTAGATAGAGCTACTATAAGGTAGGTATATAACTGGCTGATAACCACTACTGGAGAGTAGTGATTAATGGTTCACAATCATGATGGAAGGGTATAACAAGTGGGGTTCTGCACGGGTCTGGGGACCGGTTCTGTTCAATATCTTCATCAACAATTTAGATGATGGCATAGAGAGTACAATTATTAAGTTTGCCGATGATACCAAGCAGGGAGGGATTGCAACTGCTTTGGAGGATAGGATCATAATTCAAAATCTGGACAAACTGGAGAAATGGTCTGAGGTAAAGAAGATGAAGTTTAATAAGGACAAATGCAAAGTACTACACTGAGGAGGGAACAATCAGTTTCACACATACAGAATGCGAAGTGACAGTCTAGAAAGAGTACTGCAGAAAGAGATCTAGGGGTCATAGTGGACCACAAGCTAAATATGAGTTAACTGTGTGACACTGTTGCAAAAAAAGCAAACATGATTCTAGGATGCATTAACAGGTATGTTGTGAGCAAGACATGATAAGTAATTCTTCCACTCTACTCTGCGCTGATTAGGCCTCAATTGGAGTATTGTGTTCAGTTCTGGGCACCACATTTCAAGAAAGATGTGGAGAAATTTGAGAGGGTCCAGAGAAGAGCAACAAGAATGATTAAAGGTCTAGAGAACATGACCTTTGAAGGAAGACTGAAAGAATTGGGCTTATTTAGTTTGGAAAGGAAAAGACTGAGAAGGGACATGATAGCAATTTTCAGATAATCTAAAAATGGTGTCACAAGGAAGAGGGAGAAAAATTGTTCTCCTTGGCCTCTGAGGATGGGACAAAAAGCAATGGGCTTAAACTACAGTAAGAAAGGTTTAGGTTGGACATTAGTAGGGCTCAACAAATAATGTAATCTACTCGCCCGTGGAGAGTAGATTATAACACAGAAAAGCCAGCGCAGAGCGATCTGCACATGCACAGAACGCAGAACAATATTGTAGAATCTCCATCACTGGAGATATTTAAGAGCAGTTTGGATAAACATCTATTAGGGATGATTTAGATGGTTTGATCTGCCAAGACTGGTCTTAATGATCTTTCAATATCCCTTCCAGTTCTAGTGGTCTGTGCTTCTAGAAGAGATGTGTGAAGGGGGATTTGATAGCAGTCTTTAACTTCCTGAAGAGGAGTTCCAAAGAGGATAGAGAGAGGTTTTTCTCTGTAGTGGCACATGGCCGAACAAGGAGCAATAGTCTCAAGTTGCAGTGGGAGAGGTCCAGGTTGGATATTAGGAAAAACTATTTCACTAGGAGGGTGGTGACGCACTGGAATGGGTTACCTAGGGAGGTGGTAGAATCTCTACCCCCTAAAGGTTTTTAAGTCTCAGCTTGACAAATCATCCTTGATAAATAATCCTGGCTGGGATGATTTAATTGAGGTTGGTCCTGCTTTGGGCAGGGGGCTGGACTCAATGATCTCTGGAGTCTTCTTCCAGCCCTAGGATTCTATGGTTCTATACCCTTCCATTCGTATGTTGTGAAGAGATACTCAGGCAAGGTAGCACTTTACACTTTCATACACTTTATCCACAATCGTCATTTGGCTACTTCTGTATTAGATTCTAGAATTTCCACACCTACTCAACACTGTGGCACTGACCAAACTTTCACTTATGATCAGGCCCGGCCTTTGGGCAAGGCAAGCAAGACAATTGCCTTGGCTCCTGAGCATTCAGGACCTTGCACTTCCTAGATCCTGGCTCTGCCAACCCGGCCACTCACTCGCTGCTCTGACTGGAAGCCACGTGGCTGTGTGGTTCAGCCATGCTGTCATGGGCCCCACAAACTCTTTGGTCCAGAGTAACCCATGCTCAGTGCTATTTACCATCATTAGGCTCAACTGGTTTCTTAGTCTATCTTAGTATATATTTTAGAAATGTGCATCTGTCTGTGTGTCATCAGTGAGTCCACTTGTTCATGATTGCCTCCTTAATGGTAAGAGCTAGAACCATCACATTCAGTATGTCACTTCCTCTTATAGCTTAAAGTAAGGTCATGGTTTGGTTGTGACAGGATAATGGGATGTGCCTGGCATTTTATTGTTTCTAATAAAATGGAAAGGAAGGGGTCTGGCAGGAGGGAGAGTTATGACCACAGAGGGTAGCAAGAGGCCAAAGATGTGGATCAGGACAGCCTAACACCCTTGGGCCAGCAGGGGGCAGGAGTGGAGAAAGGGAGAGCTATCTACTGTATTTTTCTGCTTGTCTGTTTGTGTGTCAGTTTGGCTATGTGTTTGTTTGTTTCCCAGCCGGGGGAAATGTACCCCTCCCCTAGCTATGTCTGCTGCAGCTGCAGCAGCCATGGACAGGTCCCAAGCTGCTATGGTGAAAAAGGACTGGGGTTGTCCTCTCTCCCTAGGGCAGCCTGGATACCGAACCCTTCATTCCTAGCATCACCCCAGAACAATTATTTAAGTGAAGAAAAATAAAACTTATTTGAGTTAAGGACCCAACCAACACTGGATAAGTTTTCTAATATCTTGTTAAAGGAGCCATCCCCGGTAATCAGAGTGTTCTACTACCTATATTAATATTAACAACTTTTTTCATGTCTTATGACAGAATTTTCAAAAGTGTTTAAATCCCATTGATTTTCAATATTAGTTGGCACATAAATAATGTATTGTAGCCTTAATCTTTTGTTTGTAAGTTACATGTTTCTCTTTCCTAAGGTAAAGAGAAATCTCTTGGCACTCAAGCAAAATCCTTAGAAAAATAACCCTTTATTTCTATTGGAAATAATTTTATTAAGTGCTCTGACCACTGGATAATAATGTAATGAGAAAAGTATAAAAATAGTGACTTGTGGAATGCTAGGCCCATGTGCCAGTTGCCAAAAAATCAGCTTTGGTAAAACCCAAATAGTGAAAAAAAATCCCCACCTTTCTTCAACTATAGCCTAACTGCACAGACAGCCTTCTCCTGCATTCTAACCAGTCTGTGATTAATTAGTTAGAGATCTGCAACAACTCTTCTTCATGACTAAATATTTTTTTAGTCTATCAAACTGTTAGTGCAAAGCGGGATAAATGACACAGAGGAGCTGATGATCCTGACCTTTAAGTTCTGCTGCTCATCGAGGCTCCAGACACTAAGCATCTTCTCAGATGAGCCCGAAATGCCCTTCGTCTTTTCAGAGTCAAAGTCAAGACTCATGACTGGCTCTTGGTGGCATGCAAGTCGGCTTAACATTTTTCCCCCTGATAAATTCCACAGAATCACTGATCCATCCTCGTAGCCAGCCAGAAGAAAAGGACATGAACCAAAGTCAGGCTGTTCAGAAACATAACAAAAAGTTTTATAAGAGCAATTATTCTTCCCATTCTCCAGACAGCCTTTAGCGCAAGCACCAAACAAATAATGAACCCACTCCCCCAAAAAAACCAAACCAAACCAAAAAAAAACCCCTAACACTGAAATGAACAGTGAACAGAGAGAGCCCCAGAATGCTGCCACTAATGGCAACCTCTGGAATTCCATACATGTTTATTCAGAACAATGATTGTTACATCATTTTTTCAGTGTCCATCACTGTAGCATATAAATTGCTTTTCTTCCTGAAAGTCTAAACAATTTTCCTTTTTGCACTTGATTCAAACATTATGAATCTCAAAATGTCAGAATATCATAGCAAGATGGTTCATGGTCTAAGCCTGAGGGAGACCTTCAGTAAATAGTTTAGACATAGTAACCAAGACATAACCTGGCTATCACAACCCAATTCCTTTTGTTCTCTGAGGGTATGTCTAAACTACATGCTTATTTGGAAATAGTGTATGTTATTTCAAAACAAAAGAGTGCATATCTATACAGCAAGCCTGTTATTTTGAAGCAATTTCAAAATAACAGACTTTTTACTCCAACTTCTGTAACCCTCATTTCACAAGGAGTAAGGGAAGTTGAAGGAGGAGTGTTCTTCCTTTTACTTCCTGCTGTGCAGACAGTGCAAAAAGGCGAGTTAAGGTACTTCGACTTCAGTTATTGCAATTAACATAGCTAAAGTTGCATATCTTAACTTGAGATTGGCCCACAGTGTAGACATACCCAGAAAGTTATTTTAGAATATTAAAGATAGAATTCCGAAGTCATCAAAATGCATGTTCCATTTTCTCAAATAAGAGTGTTTTTATACCACTTTCTAGTCTCACATAATCTCTCTGATCATTTTTGTCCATTTATCCCACTAATTAGATTCCACTTCATCTTGCCGAGGTGAAAATGCCCACAACTGCTGAATGCAGATAACTTCTCTAAATTCATTGCCCTGTTTAAGATCCAACAGCTATTTGAAAACCTCTTTGTTAGTTATCAAGGAGTTAACAGAGGTCTGAGTCTCACTGTAACCAATTGAGCGATATTTTGATTAATTATGTCCCAGGCCAAAGGGCATGGCACCCTGGGCAGACACCTAATTTATTTAAGCCTCTGAAATAACTCAGAGAAGGGAATGTTACTGAATTACATGTCACACTTCAGGAAAATATTCATCATTGCACTAGCCAAAAGGCTAATGACCCTGTAAACGGTAACTGATCATGTGAGCTAGGATGCAAATCCCTAATGAAAAGCAACTGAAAAACAAGCATTTGTAAATGCTTTAATAGGAGATAACTACAGGAACAGGCCCAGGGTTTAGCACCATGCGTAGAGACATCTTTTCCAGTAATGTAGATACTAGTTTATTTTATTATTTTCAAACTCCTCTCTGTTGATCCTATGTACCTACTGTGTTTGGTGTTTGACTTTAAAATAATTATAGGACGTTCCCGGAGAATTAACTAGCACCTAGCATTCAGTGTCACTATATGGTCTCTCTTTCAAATCACCAGAGACTAACTAGCATGAAACAAATCTGGACTGGCCAAATCTTCACTGTCACTATTAATTTTCCAGACTACTCTCACACTAGTTATTAAAACATTCATTTCAGGAGTAGCTAAACTAACAAATAATGGGTGGTCCTGCTAATATGAGCTCTCTGCAATAGAGGAAAGAAAAGAAAGTAGCCTTTCATGAGTGCTTGCAGTTAGAGCCCTGATCCTTTCTTCATAGCCCCAAGATATATGGTCTTTCAAATTAAGGAAGTGCTCAGTGTGGGAAGGAATCCTGAAGTAAGTATTAGGGCTGGCAAAACCATAGCACTGGACTGAAAGTGGCCTGTAAAAACAGGAAAACAAAACAAAAACCCTCGCACCTGTCTTATAAAGGGGAATGTCCAGGCATGTGAGAACTCTCCCTAGCTGATCTTGACTTCAAATGAAGACTGAGATTCTGTGGATGCCTCATTCTTTAATAGACAGAGTCCTCTTTCTTCTGCAAAGGCCAGGCTGAAACCATCCATTGTGAGACACTTGCACAAGAAATGACTCTTCAAAAACAATTCTCTCCAAAATGTGGATTACTTTTGCTAGTCAATAAAGCAAGATATCTGTGGACCAACTTGTCAGGTTCTTTGTCTTTTTCATAATTTAATGGGCAAACTCGTACAGTTCCTCATCACCCTGCAGTTTGTGTGTGCTGAGCATTTTAGGAACATCCGGCCCTAAGTTTTTTGTTTTCTTAATGAATATAACTAGTGAACTGATTATAGCAAAAACTGGCCTCATTTAAAAATAAAGTTTTAGATGAAAAGGAGAATGTTTGTGCAGGCTCAGATAATACCAATTACAGAAAGTTTCATATTTGGACAAGCACACTTGCTTATGTATGTGTAAAATTATATGATTATTGAAATCAGTTGGATTTCTAGGTTTGATTTCCACAAAGCAGTAAATCACAACACCCTATTTGCTTCAGTAATGGACCCCATTAAAGAAAAATCTTCAGCTCTCATCTTCTGGTTTCAGGGGGAATTTTTTAAAAATAAGTTTTATTTTCTCTCTTAAGTAGAACGTTTTGTTTTTGTTGTATTGAAATAATTGTCAAGGAAGGAAAGAAAGGTGATCTGCTGTCAACTCAGCAGAAATAATTATTATAGTTTATATAAAGCAGTAACTCTGCACTTCCAGTTTCTACATGTATTACTCTTGTTCAATTCCTTTCCCAGGGAGTGCAAAAATAAATTTAAGGGAAGACATCCTCATTCTTGCCTACCACACCCAGTTAGTAATGGCAGGAAGATGTGAAGTGCATCAGACAATTACTATGTATCATTTGCATTTATTAATATGCTCCTTTATGAGGGGAAAATACTGGTCTTCCCCATGGATCAATATTTATGAATACAGATATAGTAATTTTTACTCTGCCCTCAACATAGTAAAATATGCTGACGCCTGCTTGACTGGTTAGGAGAAATCAATGTCTCTTGAACCACAAGTCTAACCTCAATTTTCTTCCACTCTACAGCTAAGTTTCTAACTGAAACTATTCCTAGTAGGAACTTTATTTCACTGATTCACAGAGTATTTTTGAACTCACTCACAGGCAGGAGAAAAGGATACATGGAATGGTGTTCATTTAGTATATGGTTTTAATGCAGAGGCTCACAATGAGGAAACCCACCAGGATGCTTCTAATGAAAGCACAAAACTGAAGGGAAAGTATTTTCACTATAGTAAACAATAATTATAATAAAAGTGTCTCCCATTCCACATCCTCCAATAGTTTTACATACATTAATTAATTAATTAATTAAACCTAGTAATTCATGAGTTGAAAACCTACCCTCCCTTTATCAAATGCTGATAATTTATTAGACCCTTACAAAACTTATTTTGCTTAATAAATATTCAGTACTACCATTTTAATTTATTTCTGATGTACATGAATCTTTAAGTTGCCATTGGTTAGATCTATGGGCTCATCCTGTTTTGTCTGAAGTTCATAGCAAAACTCCTTTATGATTTCAAGGGAAGCAGGAAAGCCCTAGCACATTAAGGCCACCCCATTCCTACAATTGCTTCATATAGTGTATCCTTCCATAGAAGTCAATGGGAATTTCGAATGTGTATCAGTGGCAGGATTCATTGAAAGCATTTGATAATTTGTAAATCATTTCCAATGATGTAGCACTAACAAACACAGAGAGGGAATGTGATCTAAGTGCTCAGAGTTGGGAACTATGAATCAGGATTTCTATTCCCAGCGCTACCCTACCACACTGTGAGACTTAGGGAAAATGACAAACTTACTTTTCCTCAGCTAGGGAAATTATACCTACCTCATGCTGTACAAATTACTATTACTTTTAAAAATAAGAATTTTATTTCCATTTTTCATCCCACATAAATACAAGGCTTAGATACTTTGTCCAGATACCATGTTTAGAATAAAAAAAAAGTCAATAACTTATTTTTTTAGTGGATAAGTGCAACCTATCATTAAAATTAATATCCATTTTAAACATCCCAAACACATCTCATTACCCTATTTTATAATGAGACCAGAAGAGAAGATTGGGTTCTGTATTTCTCTCATTTTCTTCTTAGCTGATGCAAATAAATTGCATCTATTTTTAAGGCTGCAAAGCCTCCAGTAAACATTTGCAAGTCTATTAAAGCTTGGATAACTCAGAAAATTACACTAAGGCTGTTCACACATACTACACTCTCCTGCTTCCTTTATAGTATAATTATTTAATTGTTTTACGATAAAACAAAATCTGAGTGAAGGATGATTCATGTGCTCCATATAAAATGAAGCACAGGGAAAATGTTTCACAATTAGTAGGCCTGATTACCTTACCTGCCATAGCTTCAGACACATAGGCATGCCCGGTTTGGCATCCACCTCTGGCTTCAAGGTACAGACTGATGTCTTGGTTGGCAGCTCCAAAATCTGAACCTGACATTAGGTAAGCAAGTTTATTTGGTCAGGCTCCAGGTCATAAAACTACTGTAAAAACATGACTCCTTTAAAGTGATTATGACTGGTGTAAGTTCTTTATTTTTTTAGAATGCTATCCAGTAGGAACTGGGAAGGAGACTTAAAATCTAAGCAGATCTAAGATGCTTTTGGAAGCTTGATAGCAGTAGAATCCATATCTAGATAGAAACATTGTTTTATAAAAGAATGAAACAAACAAAAAAGAAACAAAATCCTGTTGGGATATAACACATACTCCCCTTCCACTTTCTGCTATTTCCTCCTTATTTTGCAATCATCTCCAATACAATTGGACATTACCTGATTTTATTTTTAAAAATCTTACTTTTTCTCTCCGTCCCTTATTTTTGTTGTTAAACATGTCTGTTACATTCATTAGTGGATGTTTGTATTATCTCATCCTCATTCCTTATATTACGGCTACGTGATGGTCGCATTTGGAGGTACAGACTGATTTCACATATTTTTTTCTGGTTGAGTCTATACTAGCAAATAAATTCATATCCATAATTCTCCACTACTGCAAGCAGTAGTACTGAGAGCAGTCAGGCATTTTTTTATTACCATATAGCCTAACCTTATTTTGAATAGGGTAAAACATCACTTTGTTAAATACTTGTCACTTGTTTACACATCTATCATTGCTCATGCTGATGGTAGTGAATTAGGGGATATGACTTTTCTAATGTTCCAAGGTTATTAAGGGGCAAATCTTAGCTTTTCCTGCAGGGGTACAGAGGATTCTATTTGCAACAGAACAAGTGCAGTTGCACTGCAATCTGTGGGAAAGGCACTATTGTAAAATCTGGGGAGTCTACCTGTGCATTATGTCTTGGGATGCATACTGAAGCAACAGAACTGCCATTATACAGTATCGCCAGTTATTTCCCTTGTATAGAGGAGCACAAGTGCTGTGGAGGAAACCAAAGCCTTCCAGAATTGGAAGGGAAGACTATAGTGGCATAGCATGGTGCTGCTCTGAGTCTTAGAACAAGAGGATTCCTTCCTTCAACACCACTGCTCAGGCTGTGCACTGGAGACAGGATTTGGGACTATCTGACTCTTATATACTATTGTTGTGTATATTGTTTGGATTAATAACAGAGGATTTAAAATTTGAACACATCTGTAATTATTAAAAGATTTAAATCTGCCTTTAGAGGGCTATTTGAAGAAAACCTTATCAAAACACTCTTTTCAATTTATTTTACAATCAGTATTTCAAATCTAATTTATAACACACACACTAAAGCCTTAAACAGTTGTGAATTTAAGCAGAAGAAAATTAACAATCCTATTTCAATATATTTAATAATCTACAGAAGTAATGTTCTTCTTCTATGATATCATAAAAGTTGAAAGCAGCCAAATCACTTTTTTGGGTGAACTAAATGAACAAAAATACAAACACCCAAGAAATGCACAGAACAATGAAAAGCAGATCTCTGATTTATTGTTACCTTTGGAGACATTTACATCAAATCCTTGTGCCATAGTATTTACCACAGAAAGATAACTCAGTAAAGTTCTGCAAGTGACTGGATTAAATTTAATTAATCATCTCTTTATAAGAACTATTCTAGATCTCAAGCTAGATCCTACTGTCAGCCTAAGAGCTTTCACACTTAGGGGTGTATCCTCAGCAGTTTTATGCTCATAACTAGCACAGTTGAAAAAGATGGTGGCTTTAAAGAAATCTTTCTATTTTTTAAGGATTGCGGTAATGGCCAAGGGATACGTACTTTGGCCCTACCCATAGCTTGCCTTCACCCATACCCTTTATATGGGAACAGTGAGAGGAGGAAATGGATGGTGTAAAGCAGGGGTTCCCAAATTTTTTGACACGGGGACCAGTAAATCCATTCACGAGCTTTTGGAGGACCAATAACATTCATTTGCATATTTGCATATTCATTAAGCAAATGATGAATATCCAAATAAGTTGTTTCTGGTCAACCCAAAGCCCCCAGTGTCAGCATTAGCAAAGCTTTTGATACAGTCACCCACAATATTCTTGCCAGCAAGTTAAGGGAATATGGATTGGACAAATGGACTGTAAGATGGATAGAAAGCTGGCTAGATCAGGGTTTCTCAAACTTTTTACTTTAGCTGGAACCTGGTTTTTTTTTCAGTACTGTTTTTTGCAGCCCAAAAATATAAACGCATATAAAAAAAGAATGAAAAATGAATAAATTTTCAGTGTTTCACCCAGCTGCATCCTCCGCCCAGCCTGGGCTTAGGGAACCCGGCGCCCCATGGGCACTCCAGGAGGCGGGAGCAGGAGCAGTTTGGTGGAAGGGTATCTGGATAGGAGGGAGGGTGCAAGAAAGGGTAGAGTTGCCAGGTGTCCCATTTTGTACCCAACAGTCCGGTATTGCAGGGTTTTGTCTGGGAAACAAATTGAGAAATTACCAAAGATATAAAATGTCTGGTATTTTCTAATTAGGTAAGTTTTATTATAATTAGGTGTATCAGTCCTTAGCTGTGAACTGCCTGGCTGGTAGATATGCTCACGCTGCCTGAGTGTATCTACCTGATAGGCAGTTTGCAACTACTCCAGGAAGAGAATGTGTGGGCGGGGCAAAATGGAATCCCCAGCAAGACTCACTCTTCTGCCAGGGTCTGTCCCGCTCCCCCACCTTTCTCCTCCCAATCTCCCCTGTCCAGCCCTGCTTCCGGCGGCCGGTT